AGGACTACAAGTAAACTGTGTTACAGTAAAAAGATGAACTTATTGGTTCTTGTGTGAACGTTTGGTTATACTGTAACAGCTGAATTACTACACAACACACATGGCACATAATACGACATCAGAGGATTAAGGATTAAAAGATTATTTTTTTCCGATATACGAAGACCATTTTCAATCGGATTATTGTAGACGATTCAAATAATCTTGGCCTGAATGTATTTATTGTAATAATTTCGTGTACGATGTATGATAAAGAGAACTGCTGACTAAATTACACACAGTTTAGTTTCCCTTTCAAACCTAACGGTCAAAGGTGCAAATGAAGTAGAGTTCACTTGTTTCTGTTACCTCGGCATATGAAGAGATAGTGTAGTCAGCACTATGCTTAGCCGCCTTTACTCTCCCTAACGTGAGTTAGGTACCCATCAGAGTTGGGTGGACTCAGGGACGGTATACTGACTTGAACCCGGATTCGAACTCGAGACTTTCGGGTTGGCAGTCCAGCTCTCTACCGCTAGACCACTCCGTCCCATAAATTACGCACAGTACAGTACACTAATGCGGCTGGGCATAGTATGTATCACTCTATTCCTAGAATGCCGAGGTCAATTAATTAGATACACTGTTCTACTTCATCTACCCCTTGTGTCTTGGGCACAAACGTGTGTAGTAGATGATGACATCACACAAGTATTCAAGTTCAGTAGACAGTATAATGGTACCGACAATGCTAGGTTTTTGAATAGAAAACAACAAAACGATTTCAATCTTGTTTTATGTGACGAAACCAGATATTAACTGTTCTTCTTTAAAGTCACGCAAGAGTTCAAAATAAAAATAGTTTTCAGTCTCATCGGGGGTGGACGTGAAGACACATGCAAGTGATGGATAAAATCCCCCCCCCCCCTGAAGACACATGCAAGTGATGGATAAAATCCCCCCCCCTGAAGACACATGCAAGTGATGGATAAAATCCCCCCCCCCCCGGTTAGCGCCGACCCTACCCTCGCTTCAGTGGTTCGCTTCACAGTTTCCCGTGGGTCAAAACCTGATACCCGATAAACGCTCTGGTCGGTTGGAGTCTGTCAGCTCTAATCTGTTCCCATCTATAATAGGGCGATTGCTCGGTGAAATTCAAGTTACTGGCCCTCTAGCTTGTCGCGTCAACTGGCTTTGATGTTTGTTGGGAGGTGGGGGTGTAAGGGTGGGGGGGGCGTAAGGGTGGGGGGTGGAAACCGTTGAGAAAGATTTCCGAAGGGGGGGGGGTAGGTTGGTGGGAGAGAATAAGCCCTTAGAAAACCTGAGCCTAGTTTACTGTCGACTAGTTGAGCGTGCAGTGTCTTAAAAAAATCTAAACAATTTCACATATTTTAAAGCTCAAAGAGGGTGTATTCAGATAAATAAAAATAAAGTAACAATAGCTACACTTCACACCGCTAAGATATTGTTTATTTTTATTGTTATAGATTTACAAGCACTTCATCTTGAGATTGACAACACGTTTTCAGCAAACACATAGACAATAACATTATACAGAAAATTAGTCAGTTTTAAGATGTAAATAATTTTACTATATAAGAAACTTTTTATTATATTTAGTCTGTGCCTTAAAAAAAATGAAAACTATCATTTATTGTATAGGAGAGAAATAATGAGCCAAATTATAATGCAAGCAGCAAAGAAATATTCCAAATAAGCTCAATTAGCTGTTGATGGAAAACGAAGAGATATTTCCTGCCTGTAAGTTACTAAGCCCCACGTGTAGTCTTAAAAGCAGGGTAGGACTATGTAAAACGTGCATTTGATCAAACATATCAAAGCGTTCTTTTTTTTTTAAACGAACAAATCAGCAGTACTTTAAGGAGTTATTTCATTATGACCACGTTTTCAAGACACAGGAAAAACAAAAATCATAGTCTAAAAAGTTCCAAGACACAGGGTTCATAGTATACGTATTTACCCGTGTTTTTCTAATGTATGCAGCGTGTGCGAATTACGACCTAATTAGCGCCAAGCATTTTAATGGGATGAATTTTTCTTTCAACTGAGATCGTAATGTGGGGGAAATTTTCCGGGGGAAACCCGCTTCGTTTTTTTTCGACCGCATCTTTGAGTTTGCTTTTATGGCCCCCAAAATCAGCGATGATTTATTTAGCACATTCTTTCATCTATAGGAGGAATCCTGTATGAAGCTGTATTAAAAATCGCAATTTGTCACACAATAAAAAGCAATAATTACGACATAGTATAAAGTTGATACGGGTGTTTATTTTCCTTGATATAAGATCTCACTTCAATAATGTTAGTTTCTAACAATTCTTTTAATCACTAAATATTTGAGAAATCGTTAGAATATGCAACATTGTTGTTTTACTAAAAATGTTCCGTTCACATTTTGCGACACCAGTTTAAAAAATTAGAGAGAAGGTTTTACAGAACTAGAGACAGCTGTTTTTTTTTAAATACCCAGAACATTGTAAACTTCTTTCATTTGACAAAATGTTTGGGTTTTTCCCTAAAAGTTCCCTTTTCGAGTCTGAAGGTCCGTATGGCAAGTAAAGTAGAGTTCACCTGTTTCTGTGACCTCGACATATGAAGAGATAGTGTGGTCAGCACTATGCCCAGCCGCCTCTTCTTTCCCTAACGTGAGTTAGGTATTCATCAAAGTTGGGTGGACCCATGGACGTTCTACTGACTTGAACCCGGGATCGAATTCGAGATTTTCAGGTTAGCAGTCTAGCGCTCTACCGCTAGGCCACGCCGTCCCACTTTTGTCATTAAATCTGGCACTACTGTGTTTTTTAAATCTTTACAGATTTTCATTTTAAAGTGAACTTTCTAAAATGACCAAAGTGTTCAAGACTAGTATGTACATAAAATACTCTTTTCGTTAAAGAATCTTTTTAAAAAAAATCTCTTACTCAACGTATTTTTCACTATGTTGCCGAAGTATGTAATACAACCTTAACTTTTAGCAAACATTTAAAGAAATCAGTTAAAGGTTTTTTTCATTAAATGATTTTAAAAACAGCCTGCTAATCTCTTAATGCTAATCTCTACACCAAATCTGTTTTATTTGGTTCCTTTGTCTTGGTGAATAAAATGATCAACGATGAAAAAAAAAACTGAAGTTCAATGACTTGTATGCCTTAAACAATTACACCCGTTACGATTGCAAGCTAAAAAAACCCGCAAGATTCGACGTGTTGACTAAAAAAAAATCCGCACACAGAGGAATTAAAAAAAAACAACAACAACACATGAACATGGACTGATAAAGAAAGTCTTTATGGCATACCGCTAAAGTGGTTTGTATTCTGGGAGATGTGAGCGTGAGATTAGCGCCCCCTGCCGGCGGATAACCTCCTGCATATAAACTGCTGGGCTCTGCTTGTAAACCAGAACATTCTGGAATCACCGTGAGTACTGTGGGACTCAGCACCCTGCCCTTGAGATACCCATCTCGATAGCATTTGGCGATAGTCGATCAAACACTGTTTAAAAAGAGCGACTGTGGGTGCATCGCTCAGCATAATACACGGTGATTTTTATCTTTTTTTTTTTAAAAGAGCTCGCCTACAGTGATTAACCATATCAAATGAATGCATACAATGTGTTATAAATAGAAAAGATGTTGTAAAATCATTGTGATTAGGACGCCTACGTATAGAGGATATATATTTAAAAAAAGACAATCTCTAAAGAGTTGCTGATTTAGAAGTTTATCAGTGAAGTTCGAGTTTAAAAGATGCAACAGGTATTAGCATCAACTAGGCGAGGTTTAAGCTAAACTGAAGACCCCAACTTTGCACGGGTTAGCCCCCATCAAAGGGCTCGTGTATTCTAAATATTGAGATCCCTACACGCAAGCTTTCGACCACAGATGTCTTGTGTTGAAGGGGGCTTTTTGATCGGGCGCCATCCTGTCGGCGTTGTTTAAATTTCTTCACCGGGGTTGGCTAACATTGAGTAATTAGACGGAGTAATAAACTGATGGGTGGTGGAGCGTCGCCCTCGCCGTGTTGATGTCCGGGCTGGGGGTGGGGGTGGGGGGCTCACCGTTCATGTATAGACATAATAAACGAAGGTGTACTTTGACTGGGCAGTTGATAAACACGATGGTTTTAGGCGAGTTAGATAATGTAGCACAATATTTGTATTCTGTCAAGGGGATTCCAACGATATAAAATCACAAAATATTTGTATTATATCATGGAATGTCCTACAAAATAATCTCGCTCAAGATTTCTATTACTTCAAGTCAAGGAATGTCCAACAATGTAAAATCACACAAAATTTGTATTATGTCATGAGGGCATCCAACGATTACATCTCATGTAATATCTGTATTATGTATTGGGGTGTTCAAGTAAAACATATTTGAACACAAATTGAAATAGAGCACTAGAAAAATTCATGTTTTTTTAAATTACTTTATTGTACGTGAAAAATGGTTTGAAAACGTCCAAAAAGGTAGGCGCATGTCGTCATTATAAAATCCAGTTTTATACGGCCAATAATGCGAATTTAAAGAGCGTACAGTGGGTTGAAGAGTGTTTAAAGTGGTTTTGTTGTATTTAATGACAGTATTTTTTTCTAATGAATAGCGTGGTTGAAAAGGTTTTGTTGCATTGAATGAGAGTATATTTTTTGTCTAATTCAATAATAATCAACGATGTTGGTTCTAACTTTATAAACTTTTTAAAAGCTTAAGATTGGTTAAAACGCTTACGTATTTGTAGGATTGGTTTAAAAACTTCTGTCTTTGTATGATTGGTTAAAAACTTTCGTATTTGTATGCTTGGTTTAAAAAATGTACGCATTTGTAGGATTGGTTAAAAAACTTACATATTTGTATGCTTGGTTAACAAACGTACGTATTTGTATGTTTGGTTTAAAAAACTTACGTACTTGTATGCTGGGTTTAAAAAACTTACGTATTTGTATGCTTGGTTTAAAAAAAAACTTACGTATTTGTATGATTGGTATAAAAAACTTACGTATTTGTATGATTGGTCCAAAAACGGAAGAATCCTGCACCGTGCTGCAGTTCCACCTCCGGAGCCTAAATTGGAACTGGCATTCGGCTATCCCCAGCTTGGCGCCGCGTCCTATACTGGGCATGTGGTCGTGGTACTGCTGACAGAACTTGATCTGCCGGGCCGAGAGGCCCTTTAACTGGGTGCAGATGCCTGGCTGGGCCCCCAGCATCAGAATATGAGGGTTGTTCCACTTCTCTAGTCCTGACACGCCAAGCTGCCTGTTGGGGAGATGACACCGTCAAATAAATTTGGTACATATATTGAGTGTGTACACATACACGTTACATGTACGTGTACACAAATACACATTACATGCACATTTTCAAAAACGTACACATACGTATAAATTTACTTACATTCATACGAATCGTCATATTTTTCCGTTTGTGCCCAAGACGCATGGGGCAGATGAAGTAGAGTTCATCTGTTTCCTTGACCCCGGCATTTATACGGATACCGGTATAATATTAAATGCATATACAGGCATAAGGCCAACATATACAGCCATACGCAGGCACACGATTTATAAACATACAAACATATGTATCATACATATCTGTATATATATATATATATATATATATATATATATATATATATATATATATATATATATATATATATATATATATATATATATATATATGTATATATATATATATATATATATATATATATGTATATATATATATATATATATATATATATATATATATATATATATATATATATATATATATATATATATATATATATATATATATATATATATATATATATATACAGATGTATAGGCCTATACAGATGTATATACAAATATAACTGTATATGTGTATGTATATGCTTATACACATTAAGATTTTATATTATATATATATATATATATATGCATTTACTGATTGCATAGTCGCTCCTGATTTCTACTAGTGCTATCAGACAATGTTTACATGTAGAAGCTAGGCGGTAACATAAGAACAATATGCTTACAAATTAATTCCCCGCCTCCCCGCCATTCTTGCAAGAGGTGGGGGAAAATGTTAAATAAACAAGGAGCACTTAACTTCTCCTCGGACTGGAATTTGGCAAGTTGTCTGCCCATAATTACCATTTTTTTTCTCTCCCCCCCCCCCCCCCCCCCGTGCTTGACAGCGCATCACTTTCCTCTTGTACGAAGGTGCCTGTCTGTCAGTTTGTGTGTGTATGTGTGTGTGTGTCAGTGTGTCAACATGCTGCGTGTCTGTCAGTCTGTGTGTGTGTCAGTGTGTCAATATGCTGCCTGTCTGTCAGTGAGCGACAAGCCAGGTCTGCATCTGTTCACGTCAATAAAACCGTCAAGTGCCAAAACGAAAAAAAAAAAAGTTCCGTGCTATTATTCGCAAAAAAATACTTTCCGTGCCATGTAAGTGCGATGATACATTATTTTAATTTCAACGTTCGGGTAATATAATTTTATACGTTTATTCATTAAACAAAATCGTAAGTGATTTTTGTCTATTTTTATTTATTTATTCATTCAAACTATGCTGTTTAAGATTAAAATGTTTTCGATAAATAAAGAGAGATTTTTTGTTTAATCTGAATCGTAAAATAAACTTAAAATATTATTTTATTCAGACAACGGGCAGTTTATGACACATGGATGAGAGGGCATATTGCGAGAGGCGGTATGAGGGGGGGGGGGGGGGGGGGGAAGGGGTGGAGGTATGATAGAGGTATAAACTTTTAATATTGTCTGTTTATACAGAGAATTTGTTGTACTTTGACTATTGTCTATATTTTATTACTTTCGTTTTTCATAAATCAAAAACTTTTAGTGATGTAAAGGTTATTGTTACTCATTAATTATTATATTAAAATACGCACATTGTTTGGTTAATGAATTAGTTAAACATCATGAAAGTACTATATTTAAATGAAAGATAATAGTTATGTCTGCTAGCATAAACAAAACAAAAAACATTAGCGTTCTATTTGTCATTTGGCAAAAATAATATGGTGTTTCTTTCAAAAAAATTTTCTTCGAGGAGGGGAAGGGGATTTGAAACTTTCGGGGGGGGGGGGGGGGGGGTAGGGGGGGGGTGGGGGGTGAAGGGACTAAATTTTCAACTAGCATGATAACTCGACTAGCTAAAACAAAACAGTAGCCTCCCATTTAACATTTTTAACAAGTCACCATGCAAAATAACAACAGCCTCCATATTGACACGTCACCGTTTTATACCAGTGACATAACGAATTCATCAAAACAAAATAATACAAGACTCCTTTATCTAAAAAAAAAGTTAACCCTGGAAAATAACCGACTCATTTATCTAACAAAAAAAACAACAACACCTACCACCACATATCAAGTGCGTAGACCGCCTGTGTTTGCATGGATATAAGTAGGACAGCAACCGTCCACCACCACCATTTTGGTATCCGGGGAAGAACATTCTTTCTCCTCCGCCGTCGAGAACCTTCCATGCTAGCATAATCTCAACCGATCACAGCATCTGCCGCAGATACAAGATACAATGTCAATAGATACAAGAGACAATGTCAATAGATACAAGATACAATGTTAACAGATACAAGAGACAATGATAACAGATACAAGTGACAATGATAACAGATGCAAGAGACAATGTAAACAGATACAAGTGACTATGTTACAGATACAAGATACAGTGTTAACAGAGGATACAATGTTAACAGATGCAAGAGACAGTGTTAACAGATAAAAGATACAATGTTAACAGAGACAAGATACAATGTTAACAGATGCAAGAGACAAAGTTAACAGATAAAAGATACAATGTCATTAGATACAAGATGCAATGTTAACAGATACTAGAGACAATGTTAACAGATACAAGATACAGTGTTAACAGATACAAGATACAGTGTTAACAGATACAAGATACAGTGTTAACAGATACTAGAGACAATGTTAACAGATACAAGATACAGTGTTAACAGATACAAGATACAATGTTAACAGATACTAGAGACAATGTTGACAGATACAAGATACAGTGTTAACAGATACAAGATACAATGTTAACAGAAACAAGATACAATGTTAACAGATACAAGATGCAATGTCAATAGATACAAGATACAATGTTAACAGATGCAAGAGACAATGTAAACAGATACAAGTGACTATGTTACAGATACAAGATACAGTGTTAACAGAGGATACAGTGTCAATAGATACAAGATACAATGTTAACAGAGGATAAATGTTAACAGATAAAAGATACAATGTTAACAGATAAAAGATACAGTGTTAACAGATACTAGAGACAATGTTAACAGATACAAGATACAGTGTTAACAGATACTAGAGACAATGTTAACAGATACAAGATACAGTGTTAACAGATACAAGATACAGTGTTAACACATACAATATACAGTGTTAACACATACAAGATACAATGTTAACAGATGCAAGAGACAATGTTAACAGATACAAGAGACAATGTTAACATATACAAGGTACAGTGCTAACAGAAGATACAATGTTAACAGATACAAGACACACTGTTAACAGATACAATATACATTGTTAACAGATACAAGAGACAAAGTTAACAGATAGAAGATACAGTGTTAACAGAGACATGATACAATGTTAACAGATACAAGATACAATGTTAACAGATACAAGATATAATGTTAACAAGATATGTTATAACTAATGCATGCATTTGAATAACCTTTATTATAGGACTATTACAATACGTCACCATTAATGTATGTATAATGTATAAACCATTATTAATTTTATTTATTGTAGAACATTTTTAAATAATGTTACCATTAATGTAAAGTAAAGACTACTATAAACTATATTATATGGCAGTGTAACATAATGCTACAACCAATGTAAATATTATATTATAGTAATTTATCTAAGCGCGAAATTATGCATTATCCATTTAAGACAAAAATAACATAGGCCTATGTGACTATATCCCACGACATAACATGATCAAATAGCTACACAACTATATATAAAAGTTAAAACTGTATAAAAAGACACAACATAAAAGCTATAAAGTATATCTAGTTACAAAAACATTTACTAATAAATTTAGGTTGATAATTATCTGCTTTAAGAATGGTCTATAGAGTGTTAAAAGCCTAATTAAAATGACAATGTATTTGGCGCGGCCAAAATTGAACAAAAACCTAGCAGCTTTTTGCTTACAGATATCGTAATACCTCGCAGTTAATACAAACCTTTGATACCTTTTTCATAACTTCTTCATTCACAATTTTTAATGGTATCTCTATTAAAAAAACTTTGTCTTCTTATTAAAATCACCACAACGCAATATACAACGAAGACACAGGATGTATAAATTCAGCACATGATCAAACTGAGTCAAGTTACTTTGTTTTGTATAGACCACCTGCTTCAAAACGATATTTTTACAAGTGCTAAATGTATATGATGAATCCACATATCCACATAAAGAACACTGTACCTGCATTCACAAAAGTCACGGCCATGAAACCACTCCATTCATAAACTACACCCAATGCATTCTAGTTCCCCCTCCCCCTTGCCCTCGACGCGAGTCAGCCCAGGTCGGCTATAGAATTCACATCCCATGAATTATGTATGACAATACAGGCAGGATATACGCGTCAGAGTGTACCTGACTGATTGACACAAGGTACAGTGTCGCCCCGTCCCCCGCGCCAGCAGGTGGGATTAGGATGATGTATACAGGGATATTGACAGCATACAATTTGGCCCAACCGTCACTCACGGTAACAGAGCTGCCGACTACCATTAAGATGAATGATCAAATCTGACGTGGTAGACCACACAAATATATACTTTATTGTTTTATAACAAAAATATCTGACTACACACGCAATTTCGCATATTGTTTCCTAATGTTAAAAACATTTCTCGTATAAAAAAAAATAGGTTTACCTTATGTAAAAAAAAAAATAAATAAAAAAATAAAAAAAAAACAACCAAAGATCACACTAACAAATGCTATGCTTGCCCTTAACAAAACCCTAAACAAGTGTGCTTAATCAGGTAAAGAAATGAGAAATAAAATCAGAGGGAAAAAAATTAATCATACAATCTTTTTGTTCTTTTATTTCTGAGGGAAAGGGATCGGTAACCAGAATATTATTTGATCTACCTTTCTATGGTAGACAGAGGTGTCACTAGGTGCGAGTTATTGATTACCCAGGGCAGTACAAAGTTCGGAAATTGCTTGACTAGTCACAGACGACTATAAAACAGGAGCAGTGTTGCATGTGAATGGGAAAAAAAAAATACGTCAACGAGAGAGAAGTAATTAGTTTGATTGACAGGAAATTCTAAAATAGAAGAAAGCAAGTCTCTCGCAGCAGTTTATTATTTGACTGATTTTTTATATGGGTTTGGGTTCAGTTAAAGACTTCCTGACTAATTTTTTGTGTGGAAAGACTCTAAGAATGTGTCGGATATTACCTGTAAAGCTAAGACATTCAAAGACGGAGGGTGGTTGGTATTAAAGCGACGTTAAAAGTAGAACAAAGAATGTTATAAATGCAACCCACAACTTAACTACCTCGGTTGCCTTGTACTTGTGGGGGCCAAGACACGGGCTGTCACATAATAACTGGCATATGTCTATATGGGTGGCATTCGTGTTTAACGGTTGTTTAAAAAAATTGCCTTAATAAATATAGTTGTTTTATGATATGACGAAACAATGGTTTTTGTGTTTGATAATAAATCTACAGAGATTATAACTAGTATGAACTTTGGATCAAAAATAGTTTGATTTAGTAGAAAATGTGTTATAAAATATCAATAATTTTTATAAAAGGAAATATTTTTTTATGAAAGACAATGGTGTTTGTTATACTTTGAATAGGCGCTGTGGTCGAGGATTTAGAAACAAGAGGTAGCGCTTGTACCTGAGGGGGGGGGGGGGGCGAACAGCTGCTGCACCCTCAGCGAGGTGGGTGGCGGGGTGGGCAGACAGCGAGGTGAGTCGGGGGATAGCCATCAGCTGCTGTCGCAGATGGTATGATACAGCACGCCCCGCACACAGCCCCACACACACCGCACCACACACACACCGCCCTAACAGGCCCTCAATGAACGTATTGGCGGCACCCAAATAAACTCGGGAGCTGATAGCCCCTGCCACTCCGGTCGACACTATTTTTGCTTGCACTTGTTTACCGACAGAATTCCGTACAACAAACATACGTTTTGTTATGCGTTTATTTTTACCATATGACGTTATTCTATAACAGAGAATAAAAAAGCAGGTATATTCCCATCCGATATATCATTACAAGCAGTGGCGTAGGAGGGTGTTAGGGGACACCACACACACACACACACACACACACACACACACACACACACACACATATATATATATATATATATATATATATATATATATATATATATATATATATATATATATATATATATATATATACACATATATATGTATGTGTGTGTCTGATGTATGTACATGTATATATCTATATCTATATATCTACATTTATGTAAATATCTCCATATATATGTATATATATATGTATGTATATATATATATATATATATATATATATATATATATATATATATATATATATATAATATGTACATACATACATACACTCACACAGTATCAAATATAAAATCAGTGAAGTTAGCATGATGTGTTAGGTGGTCTGGAAATATCCCAACGACCAGATGTCTATCTGACGGACTGCACGTGTCGCTGTCCTGATCTCACAATCAGATACGTGCAACGATGTTGAACCACTCTCAAACGGAGTGACCACGAACCATTCGATGTGACCCGTTAAGGTCAACTGTGACGTAGGCAGGGTGGGTTAGGAGGTGGGGTGTCGTGGTGTTTTATGAGAATCTGCCAAACAAACCTCCAAACGAAATATTTTCTCTTGGTGCTACAGATATTGGTGATGGTGCTTATGTCACCCTGTCAACTACTTACAAATTCTTAGTGTCATAGAAACAACTATTTTACGCTATTTAAACTTTACGGAACATGAAATATATATATATATATATATATATATATATATATATATATATATATATATATATATATATATATATATATATATATATATATATATATATATATAGTGTTTACTTCTCTGTATGTACAATTGATATATATATATATATATATATATATATATATATATATATATATATATATATATATAATTATATAATTATATATGAGAGTGTGTATATGTTAATGACAAGATAGTATTAAGCTATCCACACACAAAAAATTTCTTCTTTTATTCCACTCCAACATTTCTTATACAAAGCCTAACGCTGCTAAAACGGGCCAAAGCAAGAAAAGCGAATCACCATAATCTAGGGGAGGGGGTGGGTGGGGGAGGGGGGTACCAGATCTTTCCGTGAACGGTAATTTATAGCCGTATACATCTTCCGTTACAATCAATTGACGGGCGAACATTCAGG